TCAGGACTTGTTGAGAAAAGACCATAGAACATGTTGTTATGCTTCTTTAAGCTGTGCAAATTCGTTTGTTCTTTTTAGGCTCGTTTAAAAATGAAAAATTTTAACATGGAAAGTGAATGGGAGCGTCTTTGCTGCTTAATAACTTTTTACAGTTGAGATATATTTAAGTGAAAAGTTGATAGGTTATACAACTTTTGATGCTCTTTCCAATGATATATACAACTTTATTGCACGTGGTGCCGTTTTTGAGAAATATAGTAAAAAAGCACGACATTACCGAGATTTGAGCTCAGACCTATATCGTTACGGTGTCAGGCGGACACGAGGACAGGTGGCGCCGCCGCCGCCCGCATAGCGGCGGGAATGTGAACTAACCTGTTTACCAGAGGGGTGTTCACGGGCACCGCACACTGCTGCGTGCGCTGTGTGCGGTGCGTCCAGCAGGCGTGGGGGTAGGGGATGGGTAGGCGGTTCTGACGTCACGGCTGCGTGCGGTGGACGGTCCGCTGTGGCCAGTCCCGACCGGCCACAGCGATCGCTGTGTGCGGTGACGGAAGGCTGACGTAGGGACGCAGTGGGCGGAGCTTGGAGGCTATGTGCGGTCCGACCGCACACAGGGCCCGTGAACAGCCCTCTGATCTATGGTATGGTACCATCGGGGGACCGGCCGCCGTCGGCACCATTTCGGGACTTTGCATCGCAATAAAAGGCTTATTTACAATTGAAAATGGACTAGCGAGAGTCGTTATGGAATCAGAATTTGATGCTCTACAAAACTAGGCTATTTTCATTGTGATGGCATCACAGACTACACCGCTAAACCCAATAAAGCAGATTTATGTCGCGTCATCGATGATTACATATAATGTTTCTTTGATATATATGTAGTCGGGTCTTTCAGCTGCGTCCCTCCCCTCCCTCGCCGCGCCGGCGGGTCGGCCATCCGCGGCTTGCCGCCCGCCGGCTGCTGGCCGGTCAGCTGGCCGGTCAGCTGGTCGCCCGCGGCTGTCGGTGCAGTGCGGGATGCCTACTTGCGGGGGGCCGTCGTGGCGGCGGCCCGGGTGGACTGGGCGAGCAGTGAGTTGGGGAGCGCTGCGCTGTCGGTGCTCTAGTTTGTATTGCGTTCGCATGATACGGCTTGAGCCAATACAGAGTGAACTGATTGAGCTGAGCAAGTCTTTATATACATTGAAAAGTAAAGCACTTTTTACTGCATCTACGGTGAGATGCTAGATAAAATTTATGGTCTAATGGTACCCATTACTTAACAATTAAGTGAATCATTTCGTCGCTAAACTCTCGTAAATTCGTATGTCCGCCTCACTATGGAGTTTGGACCGTAACGTATGGCCTTTGCTCAGACAGTATACGAACAGGTGACGGGGATACCTCCCATAGAAGGATGCGACACGATTTTACTGCTAAATAGCGGCCGGCCGCCGTGGGGACGTTTTTGTACGACTTATATCTCGGCAACCACTGGGCTGATACACGTGCGGTTTTTTGTGTGGGGTAGCTTTTTCCCTTCTTTCACATAGTGTGCTACTCTCGATGCATATGGGTGACCCCTAACGCACGTTCCACGTGCAAAGCCAAGAGGTGCCTGTTTTGTAATAAGCGCAATAGCTCGCGGTAATTACTGGGCCGATTGCGCTAAAACTTGGCATGGAGGTAGACACTTTCCAGGCGATGCATTTCCATGTGTCTTGGTAGGGGTGCAACTGCACGTGCGCACGTGCAGGGTGACGCTTCCAGATCTCGAGAACGGCTGGACCGATTGTGTTCAAATTTGGCATAACGCTTGATACCGATCAGTAGGTTGCAGTCATTTAGTATGTATTTCCATGTGCCACGATTGGGGTGCAACTGCACGTGCGCACGTGCAGGGTGACGCTTCCAGATCTCGAGAACGGCCGGGCCGATTGAGTTCAAATTTGGTACACCGCTAGAGACCGATTAGTAGGGTGCCGACTGCCGTGCGCAAGTCAGTTTGGACCCATCTTGCACGTGCGCACGTGCAGGGTGACGCTTCCAGATCTCAAGAACGGCTGGACCGATTGCACTCAAATTCGGCAAACATCTAGAGATCGATCAGTAGGGTGCCGTGCACAAGTCAGTTAGTATGTATTTCCATGTGTCACGGTTGAGATGCAACTGCACGTGCGCACGTGGAGGGGTCGTTTCAAGATCTTGAAAACGGCTGGGCCGATTGAGCTCGAATTTGGTACACCGCTAGAGACCGGCGAATAGGGTCCCATGCACAATGCAATTGGACACAGCTTGCACGTGCGCACGTGCAGGGTGACGCTTCCAGATCTCGAAAATGGCCGAGCCGATTACACTCAAATTTGGCACACCGCTATAGATCAGCGAGTAGGGTGCCGTGCACGTCAGTTTGTAGCACACCGACTCCGGTCTACACGTGCAAGGCTCATCCTCTCGTTTGGCGGCGGGCGTTTTTGCTGCGTTTACAAAGGTGCTTGCTCAAACAACCTGCGGTCCCGCGATGCGGAGCCCAGCATCGCAGATGCTGGGTAACCGCAGGTTGTTTGAAAAGACAAACACTATTCGTTAGAATTGTGTTTTTCTATTGAATCTATTGAAAAACAACCGGAGCGGTCCGTCTCCGGGCTATGTTTTGCAAGTCTGGCAGCGAATCGAGACATCTTGATTGGGGCCTAGAGTTTTGCGTTTAGGATCGTAAAAATTTCAGGGTATAGACTTTTGCAGGTGATCTACCTGATGGTACCGGTCGCTACTCGCAACAAAAATCATTGCGCGTGCCACGTGCAATTGCATGTTCCCCATGTTAAGTCAACGGGGTTTTGGACACTTTTTGCGCGATCGCCAATGGCGGGAAAACGAGCCAAGAAGGAGGTGGTTTTCTTCCCAGCATTTTATGGCAAACACGTTCTGGTACACGCCAGTGTGCGCCGTATACCCGTCAGAATTCGTTAACTTGAGTTGCACGAGTTTGAAGTTGAACTTTTTTCGCTCCCCATGTTAAGTCAATGGGCGTTTTTGCAGAGGCATTTTCATTCGCACATTGTACAAAATTATATGATACGATTTTGTTTAAACTTTCAGGACTTGTTGAGAAAAGACCATAGAATATGTTGTTATGCTTCGTTTAACTGTCAGAATTCGTTTGTTCTTTTTGAGCTCGTTTAAAGAAGAATTTTTTTAACATGCAAAGTCAATGGGAGCGTCTTTGCTGCTTTATAACTTTTTACGTTATTGATATATTTAAGTGAAAAGTTGATAGGTTATACAACTTTTGATGCTCTTTCCAATGATATAAAGAACGTTATTGCACGTTGTGCCGTTTTCCATGTGTTGTCCATCTGAACTTGTCAGTCACGTGACCCATTTGACCTTCGGATCCAATTCTGGTAGTCAATTCTGGCGCTTTTGTTACCATAGCGAAATATGTAACACCGTGTTCACAGTTTACTGACGACGAAGGTCCTGCTTAATCTGGCCAATGGCGTTCGAGAACTGCGGCCAAGCCCCGCTGATCTTGAACGTGATTGGTCGGTGGGCGTATAGAATCTCCGTCGTCAGGGAGACTGCGAACACGGGGTAAACCAAGGGGTAAACAATCTGTGCGTGGAATGGGGAGTGGTGAATGTGCAAGGGCGATGATAGGCGCTGATGTCGTCGATTTTTATTTATACTTTTATCCTTATTATACATTCTGATCATTTTTTTATGTTCAGGAGTTTTCTCTGTTGATTTAACATAAAAAACGGTGTGTTTTACTGTTATTGCCAAGTGCCATATTGATATTGAAATTGGGGTACAATTCAACATTCACTGGTTTTCTATGGCCTGTTGTGCATCATATTATTGGTAATGTGAATATAGGTACTCCATACACTGCTATATTTGGGTATATATTAATGTTTGACCTGATTTTACTTCACTTCACCTTATATTTTTTGCAGGAACAGTTATCACAGCATTATTGTGCAAAAATAAGGGTGGTGTATCACGGCACTCTGCCAGCCACTTTTGGCTTCCATAGAGACATCAACAAGCCTATACCTCCAACACTACCGGAGGTTGACGCTAGCTCACGCGGAATGGGCTGGCAGCGGCTGGCAGCGCGCCCATGAAACACAGCCAGGGGTTTCCTCTGTAAAGTCATTGTTGTCTAGGTACATGGGCCTTTACCAATTGTTAAAGCTATAAAAATTGGAATTAGAAATGTTCAGGTATTATGAGCATCAGCTAAACAGAGAAGAGGATTCGGCTACAGCCCATCTTGCAACGCCTCAATGAAATTTAATGAGAAACTTAAATTGAGGGAGCAGCTACATAACTGAGGTAAAGCCCATAAATCCTTGTGGATTTACCTACATACCTGAGGTTAATCCACAAGGCACCTTGAGTTCAAACTATGAAGTGACTCCAAGCGAAATATAGCAGAAATTGGGACTTAAACGAGCTTAGAAATAATCTGCTTAGTGCTGGATGAGTGTTTTCACTTTAAATGAACACCACCATATTTGAGTCATGAAAAAGTGTTGAGTAAGCATAAGCTTGTAGCATAAAAGATGTTTGTGATAAGTCACTAGATTGTAAAGTGTTAGTCTCTGCACATTGATTCTCTGATTGTTTGAATGATGAAGTCTCTGCACAGTCTCTGACTGAATGATTGATGATTGATGATCTGACTGAATGATTGATGATCTGACTGAATGACTGACTGATGAATGATTGACTGAATGAGCTCTGCAGTGACAATAATGAATTTCATGGGAAGATTTTATTTGTAATAAAAGAATAGCTCACATTGCAGCGACATATTTTTGTGTCTTGTGGGGTCTCATATAGCAATAACAAGAGCAGTGACATGCATAGTTTGCTTGTGTTGTCACAACTTTGTACAATATTTCCAGCTTTATGATATGCAGTTATTAGTCACATTGGGCATCACGCATATATTTTTTCCTGCTGGAGGGAAGACACAGGAGGGAACTAGTGACTCATGTTTTTGCTTCTATCGCTTCACCCCTGGGGAATCAGTTCCTACACCCCTTGAGTATAATGGTCACCAAGGGGTGCTGGCCTGACACGTCCACTTTCTGTTGAGAAGGTTAGAACAAACACCATGTGTGTCAGTTAGTTGCACATATAATACCTCAATGTTAAGTCTGCATAAAGTCTGAAGTCTGTAGCCACTCTTAATCCTAGGTTGTCGTGACTTTAATCTAGCCTGGGTGGATATTTTGCTGTGCTAAAAGCACGGACTGCGTTACGCCCCAGCACGGCGGCCGGGGCGCCTCCCCTGGAAGAAAACGGCACCGGGGAGGGGGGACGGACGGCGATGGGGCCGGGGAAAGAGCGCGGCACCGTAACCCCACAAGCCGCCCGCAACACCGCCGTTATTCTTGTGCCTCTTGGGCGCCGCCGACGCCCTGCGGATGGGGAGCGCATCCCAGACGGGCGGGAGCCAGGAGGGCCGCCCGCGCCACCCGGCCGGCGAAGCAGCAGCCCGGCCAGGCGCGGCGGGCGGCTGGGTGGCGGCCGGACATAACATGGCCAGTCACCGTGCCGTTTTCGAGAAATTTAGTATAAAAGCACGACATTACCGAGATTTGAGCTCACACCCATATATGGCCTTGGCTCAGACAGTATACGAACAGGTGACGGGGATACCTCCCATAGAAGGATGAGACACGAATTTAATGCTAAATATTAGCGGCCGGCCGCTGTAGGGACGTTTTTGTACGACTTATATCTCCGCAGCCACTGGACCGTTACACTTGCAGTTTTTTGTGTGGGGTAGTGTATGCCCTTCTTAGAAGTATTTTACTATGGACAATGCATGCGGGTAACCCCCACTGCACGTGACACGTGTAAAACAGAGAGGTGTCACTTTTGTTGTAATGACAATAACACGGTACAACTTGATTGTAATGACAATAACTACATTATAACAAGGATGTAGGCACCTACCGGGCAATGTGTTTAAATGTGTCACGGTTGGGGTGCAACTGCACGTGCACACGTGCAGGGTGACGCTTCCAGATCTCGAGAACGGCCGGGCCGATTGTGCTCAGATTTGGCACATCGCTAGAGACCGGTTAGTAGGGTGCCGTGCGCAAGTGGGAACTGAAAATGTCTAAAATGGAGATGTTGCAGCTTGAAGGAAATGCAATCAAACTGTCAATCATACAGTGATAGTTTTTTTTTTGCAGGAGACGAGATTGAAGTGCAGCCAACACTGCATGGTGCTTCTCACAAGAGCTGACCCAATGCTGTTTTTCAACTCTTCTGGAAAAGGTAATATTGGCAGACACTTACATTGTTTCACAATCTACGTTCTGGTATGGGTCTCCCCTCCGTATACGGCGGGGAGACTACAACCCTATATGATGCACTCTTGGCTGCATCCCCACCCCACCCTTTCCCCTTACAGTATGAAGTATGAAAAACAGTGATTTTTTACTGGAGCTCCAAAGTGTGCCTTTGAACCACCTTATGATATACTAGTATCTAAAGTATTTGGCCATCAGGATCAGTTATCTAATGGCAGTAGACTGTTGTCTTCACATACTTCATATCTATTTTGGCTACTGCATTGTGTTCTGTAAAAAAATATGGAAAACGTTTTGGATGTAGTTTTTAGTGGAATGCTTCTTTACAGATCCCGAAAGAAGATAACAGCTTGTTTTCTTCACCGCCACCAGTCTACCTGCTCTCTGCACACTCGGCAGAGCGCGGCAGGGCACCCCACGGAGCTGCACTAGTCACATCCGGGCCCCACGCCGGTCGACGGCCGATGCGATGGAGGCACTACTCCGAGCTGGACTGGTGGCCGGCTCGGAGCTGGTGGATGTCGACCGCGGAGCGGCGTTCTACTCCTTCCACCGGGCCCGGCAGCAGGAGCTCCAGATGTCCTTGTGCCACCCGTCCGGCCAGGCCTCCATCCACCTTGTAGAGGCGGAGCGGGAGACGGTGAAGCTCACGGCTCCGTTGGAACATGGCCGCTGGGAGGCCTGCGGCGCGGACGACGGATGCGGCAGTTGGTCAAGACACGGCAGCCTACTCGAGGTGCTTCTCGCCTGGAGGACGCAGGCGAATCGCGTTATCCGAGCTGTGCCTCGTCATGGTGCGATGAGCCTTAATAGACTAATGCATATTCTTCCTTTGGCTGTAATTCATTTGCTGCTGCCCGCTGGGCTAAGGACTAACTCTGGGCGCCTACTTTGGGCAGACGCTCGTCCAGTGCCGCTCTTCGTTTGCCGCACATATCTTTATTTATTCTTTGTTACAATTCCGTCTTTGGTCATTTTTTTTTTACCATGGGGGCACTTGAAAGTTTTGTTTTTAAATCTGTGGACATTGAACCTGGAATCGGTTTTTGTCGGATTTCGGTTTTGTTTTTGCACTGTGGAAATATCTCGTTCAATATTTTTTAAGATAGGGCGTGCATAAACTTTTAGTCTCATTACTCCTCTGTGCATCTAAATTCTAAAGTACTATAATGTGTATCTCAAGTGTTTGGTGCTGTACTGTTATTATTTATGGTTAATCCAGTGCTGATTTATGGTTAATCCAGTTTTTATTCGATTGAATCGTGTGTAGTGCATGACATCCGCGTATGCACTGTGGAAATATCTCGTTCAATATTTTTTAAGATAGGGCGTGCATAAACTTTTAGTCTCATTACTCCTCTGTGCATCTAAATTCTAAAGTACTATAATGTGTATCTCAAGTGTTTGGTGCTGTACTGTTATTATTTATGGTTAATCCAGTGCTGATTTATGGTTAATCCAGTTTTTATTCGATTGAATCGTGTGTAGTGCATGACATCCGCGTACCGCCTGTAGCAGTGTTATATATTTTCATTTATGCTGGAAAATAATAACTTTCTTGTTCATTGGCTTTATTCGATGACAGAGACGTGCCAGATGACTGGGGCTGCGACTTGACTTGGTAGCTGTTAACGTTGCAAACTTCAACCATCAAGCATGATGTGGAAACGTCACATTCCGTTATCAAATCTTCGTACCGTAAATACTGAATAAGATCAATACTAGGCTGGAGCTTGCTAGAAAAACCGTGCACTGACTGACAACGGTGAGTGGTGGACCTGAGTAGCGGCCGGGAGGCAGGGAAGTCAGCCAATTGTCAGATGTCTATTTCTTCACACATCTAGCGGCGCTACCAGGACTCAAGGCAGAGCTGATGACAGCAGTTGCAGAGAAGGTGTCGCAGCAGGTGGCGTCCCATATCAGGCTCATTCCTCGGCTGAAAGGGGAGAGCGTTATCCCATCGGGACGTCGGCCGTCACCTCTGTCAAGGCCGGTGGGCTCTAAAACACTCGAGCCCTGTGCTGCTGAGTGCCCGCCGCAGCACGTCATTAAGGTTGGCGTGACGTGCGTGGCGGCCAGCACTCTTGGCACAGGAGAGACCGTGGTAGCCCAGTCGATCAGCAGGACGACGGCAGAGCTGGCAGTTGTGCGGTTCACATACCGGTGCCCCGAGTCGCAGCGCCACTGCTACCCGGACGGTTTCGTCCTCCAGGTGGAGTCCCAGACTGGTGACTGGGAGGGCTTGCACCCAGGCGGCGGTGTGGGGCTCTGCGGCAGCAAGAAGACGCACCCGGACCACCTGGTTTGCGCCATCCAGCAGACGCTGCTGAGACGTCTTAGAGAACGCCTCATCCCAAGCGCGCTGCTTGCCCTCTTCTGACCATTAGTTATACCACGGATCACCTTATGCGACACCTTATAGGCCCAGGCAGTATGTGATCCGTGGTTACACCCAAGTCTATGTTAACTTATTTTTTATGCGTATTTATACCTATGCCCATTTTATTTGCCGGATACGCTAGAGCAATCTTAGCATAGAAATAAGTATTGTATAAATTGTATTATACCTATAATGGGTATGAAAAATTTTCTAGCCTGAATCTTCAATGCAAAGCAATGTCAAGAGTATTACATAAATAAGTGTTTTACGCTTAGGCCAAAACTTTTGTTTTTTGCTTATTTCTGTTTATTAAATAATGTTGCAAATAATATTAATTATTTTTTTTTAAATATATGTTAACATATTCAGCTACATTTTGTCTAAAAATTGTTTAAAGATATCAATAAGCCACGATGGCACAACTCAAACACCAAGCAGAAACTGTCACGTGACTGCCTGGCCCAACCGGCTTATCCTTAGGAATCTATAGGAATCTTGTCGGGACTTGATCGGGACCCTTGACGGATCCGGCTGTTGATTGAGGTGTCATTTGTGAGAGAAGTTAGAAGATATTATTTTAAAGTTTCGTTAGACATTGTTGCTGTCTAATTTCATTGAAACTTGTGAGTTTTCTGTGCTTGGTTTCGCTAGAAGACTTTGAAGACTCGGGAAGAACAGACACGGTGAGTTTGACGCTGCCCTGCCACGCTCGACCATCTTCGTCGGCTCGACTAACTTGTTTAGCGTCTGTTAACTTTTTCGAAAGGTAGTTAGGCAAGAAACATGAATTTCGCAAAAATCGTCCTTATTGATAGTCAAATGGTCGCTGTTTTGCAACATTCATTATGACGCCGAGGATAACAGATTCTGGTTATATGCTCCGAAAAATGCGCATCTGAGACAAACGCGAGTTGTTTACAGCTTTGATTCACGTTGCTAGGTGGTTGCTATGGAGCTATGGATACTTCCTTGCAGAGTAATTTGCATTTTGGTGTCTTATGTGGTATCGACATATGCCACCCCTAATAGCTCAATTAATGCTGACAACAGTCCGGCGCACTGTGGTATCTCCGATTCATTTATGGAGACATTTCTTTTATTGGGAACGTTTCCAATTTTGACTACTCTTCTGTTCCAAAAATGGAAATGCTTGTTCCATAAATAGAAACGCTAACATTTCCGCACAAATTTTCTTGTCAAGGGTGGCTGGATTTGATGTAGGTATAACCACTGTTTTGCGTAAAACAAGCACGGATACACCAAAAGCACTTGTCTTCTTGCATGGAAAGCTGTCGTGTGCATTCAAATTCACCACTTAAAAATGCTCCTGAATCGTATCCATTTATGGAGACTTAGTTTCCAAAAATGGAAACGCCGATGTTCCAAAAATAGAAACGCTGAAGTTCAAATGTGTGCAAATTTAGCTTAAAGGAACTATCCCACTTTCTAAAATGTTGTTAAAACCAGTTAAATTGTGGCCGACTTTATAGATTGGATGATATGTGACGTCACAGCCCAAAATTACCTCCTTCCCCAGGCCACATTACTGTCATAAAGCTGATTCTTTTTACTCTGTAGGCACTATAACAAAGCTCAGACCAAGTTTTAAGCGATTTTTCAACGAACAAACCCATTTAAATCAGAATGACTAAACGAGGTGACGTCAAACTAACGGCCGCTCCATGTTGAAGATAGGGCCTGGCGCAAGGCCCATTTTCAAATGAAGGGAACAAATTTCTTCAACACCAAGAGGCCGCGGGGGTTGCAACCTAGATAGATAGTGGTTTCTGAACCTCGCTGCAAACTTGGCTATCTCAACTCAAACCCCATGTTAAAGGTGGGATAGTCCCTTTAAATGTGTTTTTTTAAAATTCACATGCAACTAAAAATTGATGTTTTGGGACTGGTTTAGCATCTCGGCTCTCGGCAGTTACCTTGGACGTCGGGTTTGATACTAATATATTACGCGCTGCAACTTAGCACATTTAAAAGTCAACTAACACTAAGATTTCCTAGAACCTACTGGACAAATGTGGTCCAAAGTGGGCAGTACATAAAGCTAGATATCATTTCAATATATAAAATTGATATCAATGTTACACATGAGCTAGAATGAATAAATTCATCGTCAGAATACGACGGTATTTGGTGTGACGACGGTGCAGACCTTATTTGATTAGAAAAACTTGTGAATTTTTTATCACGTCAACATGTTATAAGCATCGCCTCGTTTGTCGACTTTCGGTTTCTGATCGGAAATTCGGAGAAGAGGAATATAAACTAGAATGCTGGCTGTCGATTGGTGGCATCCTGCGCATGCCAAATTGCAGCAATCAATGCCCAGTTTGCTTTAAAGGTAGCGATGCACGCAGCGTCTCCATTTATGGAACAGACCGTTTCTATTTTTGGAAACGGCGTATCCATTTTTGGAACATTGTTCTAAAAATGGAAACGTTTCCATAAATGGATCGGAAATACTACAGTGTGCCCGACTGATAATATTGTTGATTTGTTGAAGAGGATGCTGAAATGTATGAATAGAGCTCTGCAATCCTTGTTTTAATTAGTTAAGCGGTAAGCTACATAGAGTGGCATTCAAAAGTGGGTCAAAAATCTTGTCGGACGTATTTTACCTTCAACCTTGGGCGTTGTTGGCCACACCTGCTAGTTTTTATTGCAGGTGAATAAAACCGCAATCAAATTTACATAAATCAAAATTACAGCTTATGGTGCTGCAGTGTACCTGAACGAACTTTCAAAACTGGGTGAAAACAGAAAAATGTAGGTGGTGACCCATGACAGTCTTCGAGTTATTCTCGATATTGTAGAAAAAAAGAATACTTGCCACGCAATGACAAGAGGGCTTTATATTGTTTAATGTGTATGCAATACATTAATTCGAGCCGGCAGGGAAGCGGGATGTTTTTGGCCACAAATGTCAGTTGTTTTCTTCTTATGTGTAACAAAAACCATGGCACGCAGTAGGAGATAATTGAAATGCTATTCTTTTAAACGAAAACACCCTCAAGCATTGTGGTTTTACCTTGAGGTTTCGGGATTTTTAGGCATAATGGCCTGTGGTACCCGATCTTATCGAGCTCCTGGGATTGTGGCTTTACGAGATCAATCAGGATCAGGTACGGAGTATATGATGTGGGACCAGTGTGCGTCCAGTCTTGCCTTGAAGCAGTTCAGCGAGGGTGCACCTGCCAGAGCGAAGAATGACCTGGGGTCGGTCGGCATCGACCCCTCTGTGAAATAGTTGGTATGTGAAGATCCTAGTTTTTTATTGCAGGTGAATAAAACCGCAATCAAATTTACATAAATCAAAATTACAGCTTATGGTGCTGCAGTGTACCTGAACGAACTTTCGAAGCTGGGTGAAAACAGAAAAATGTAGGTGGTGACCCATGACAGTCTTCGAGTTATTCTCGATTTTGTAGAAAAAAGAATACTTGCCACGCAATGACAAGAGGGCTTTATATTGTTTAATGTGTATGCAATACATTAATTCGAGCCGGCAGGGAAGGGGGATGTTTTTGGCCACAAATGTCAGTTGTTTTCTTCTTATGTGTAACAAAAACCATGGCACGCAGTAGGAGATAATTGAAATGCTATTCTTTTAAACGAAAACACCCTCAAGCATTGTGGTTTTACCTTGAGGTTTCGGGATTTTTAGGCATAATGGCCTGTGGTACCCGATCTTATCGAGCTCCTGGGATTGTGGCTTTACGAGATCAATCAGGATCAGGTACGGAGTATATGATGTGGGACCAGTGTGCGTCCAGTCTTGCCTTGAAGCAGTTCAGCGAGGGTGCACCTGCCAGAGCGAAGAATGACCTGGGGTCGGTCGGCATCGACCCCTCTGTGAAATAGTTGGTATGTGAAGATCATATCACCTCTCAGTCGTCTATAATGCAGTGATGGCATCTTCAGTTCTTTGAGTCGCTCCGTGTAGGGTTTGTGGCGGATGCTCTCTACCAGCCGGGTTGCCCTGCGCTGAACTCTTTCGACCTGTCGCTGATCCGCTCTGTAAAATGGACCCCATACAAGGTTCCCGTATTCTAAGTGTGGGCGAACCAGGGTTTTGAAAAGAATGGGCAGCGTGACTTCGTTGATGAGGGAAAACGACTTCTTGATTACGGCGAGGAGCTGCGTAGCCTTCGCCACTGCTGACGCTGCGTG